AATTTAAAATCATTATGACGTCAACCGTATCATCCATGTAAACTATGGGCTTGATACTTGAATGTGTAATAAAAGTTTACTCGCACGATCGAAATTTATCGAAACGCCGCTGATGAATTATTGCTGCTGCGGACATGTGCTAAAGATTCCCGTGGTTAATTCAAAAGTGAGCTAGCGAAGCAAAATAAAATAGAGAGACAGAGAGAGAGTAAGAGTTGTGAGATATAATCTCTCGACGGTGGATCTATCATTTTTTACCTTTGCATCAAGCCAGAAATGTTTCGGTCGATTTTCTACCCCTCATCAGTTACAATCAAGGTTTACTGTGCATGTGTTTTTTTTTTTTGGTAGCCGGCACGGTGTGGCCGCGCTTGATTGTTTTTTACGAGAGGAAACAAGCAGACGAGAAGCGCGCGCAGTGCGACGAAAAAGCGGCCACATCTCGGCGGAGGCTGCGAAGGGAAACGTAAGAAGGCGCCGGGTTAATCGGAGTAACAAAAGCGCCGATGTATTAAGCCTCCTCATTTTTGTAACGCCTTTACTGCGCGACGCGTGACCGTAAATCAATCGCGTCAGGAATTTTCGCGTTTCATCGCTTTTTGCGTCGCGGGGAAAGAGCCCGCGCACGGTCAGCGCCGCAAATGAAGACGTCAACGAGAGGAGACAAAAAAAAAAGAAATCGAAAGTTTCGAAAGAGATTGCGCTCGCGCACAAAAGAGAAGGAGCATGAAGTTTTAGCGTGCGGTGAGAAAAAAAAGAATATTATTAATATAATATATTATTGATATCTTTTACTTTTATTAATCCCTTTTACCGTGACCGCTTCCCGTAATCACGGCGTCAGAAAAACACGACTGCGGGACCAGTCGTGAATGCATCGCGTGAATGCAGAGGGATGTTCGATCGAGCCTTATCTCTGATTATGAGCCCTTTCCTTTACGGCGCGGTGAATGTGGCTAAAGCTGGCGGGAACGGCGAATCGCGGCACGTCGTATATAGAAACGCCGGTCTCGTCGCGGGAGACGCGTTTGCAACAACGTTTCGCACGACTCGTTGGTCCCGCGCGCGAGAAAATAAAGGAGCAGCAGGCGGACACACGAGCGCGCACACGTGTGCACGTACACGCGTCGCGCGTAACGCACACACACACCGTCGCCACCGGCCGTTGCGAGGGCCGCAGCTATAAAATCCGTGCCGCCTCTCAAAGCTCTCGCGAGGCACGACGGAATTTTAGTACGACTTAATTACGACGGTCCTCGCGCGCTCTGCACCGTGTCGTCCTTTTTATTTCATGAAGAACTGGGGGCGCATTTACGACGCTCCTGCGGATCCGCCCATCCGCCGTAGGGTCTAGGATTCTCCGGGGACTCTGTTCCAGAGCTGCCGGCCGTTCGAAAATCATTACTGTGTATATCTTGCGGAATTACGTATCTTAAGTCGTCGTTGTGCACGGCCATTGATTTATCGAATCTTAAAGATACTCCCGCAGTAGCTTTCGTTTTGGAGAATTCTTTTTCACATTTTGCGGAAAGATTAGAAAGAATATTGTTCGATATATAGCGTGATATATTGCCGGGTGTTAATCTATATGTTTTTAATGCGATTCGTGTACGGGACACAGTGGGGTGTACGTTACATCGATCGCGCGTGCTCGAAACCGCAGAGTCCGACACCGACAGAGGAGATCGGCGAAAGTGAAACGCTTTTTGGGCAAAGTGACGGCAATTTCCTGCGATTAAAACCGCGACTAATTGGCTCAAAAATCTGTACAATTTCCGCCCCTCCGCGCGCGGTCTCGCGTCGGCCCGGTGGCGCAATGGCGATGGCGTTGGTGGTGGTGGTGGGTGGTGGTGATGGTGGTGGTGGTGGTGGCGGTGGTGGTAGTCAACAATTTACTCGTTAGTGGCCCGACGAGTGTGCCGCGCCGCTCAATTAACTTGCGAATCAACGAGCCAGCCGCTTTGTCCGCGCGCGAATATTTCTGTGTAATTCGTACGCGCGGCCCTCGTGACCAACAAACGTGCGCGCGATGCGGGGAAATAAAAAGCGAGGGCCGGCCGAGGTAACCACCAGGGGGTGTGGGAGGGCTAACAGAAAAATAACGGCGCGAGCAAATGGAAATCGACACCGGCCGCTTGTTTCCCGGCCGTAAAAGGCTCGGCGCCTGACGGCGCGAGCGAATGTCTTTCGAGAGCGATCAAAAAATGATGGGCTCGTTTGTGCACCGCAACCGGTGCTACGCGCGTGAAAACAACCGTCATCGCAAATTAGCCTCTCGTACCTGGAAATGTCGAATTTTACAACGTTCCTTGCGAGAGACCCTGGTGCGCGTGTGGGAATCGTCCGTTCCCCCTCCCGCGCGAGCATCGTCCGCGCCGGGTTTAACGGCGCGGCTTAATCTTTGCTTTAATAATCGCATAAAATGATAAACAACGTCGTCCGCAGATTGGTAAGCGCGGATGAATACGCACGTGGGCCAAACGACGTCGCCGCGGCTTTAAAACGTTCAACAATTGGACTCACGTGGCGCATGTCAAAGGACATAAACCTGGCTACCATAAAAATTTCATAAACGTTCGTGGCTTTATTGCGACTACGTACATGCAATTCTGTAATGTTGCTCACATGTAACTACTGTATCGATCGTGACGAATTTTTCATTGATTTCTTTGAGAATGATTTTTTTCTTATTATTATTATTATTATTGGTAAGACAATCCCATTGTTAATTTAAAGCATCATATTATGTTCATGAAAAAAGCTATAAATTAGTTATTATAGCATAATAAATTATTATTAAATAAATATATATATATACAATAAAATTAATGGAATTATGAAATAATTATATGATTGATCAATATGTTTATATGTAAGTTTGATGATATTTTCTGGGTTAGATCGCGAATAATGAAAATACCTGGGTGGGTATCGTACGATCGAGAAAACCGGTATCGCTCGCTCTCCGTCTCTCCCGCGTCATCGTCCTTCCCATCCTGTTCTCTCCCTATCTTTACGCGCTCGTCGATGCACAAAAGTGGCCCGTACCAGCTTCTGGGTCCATCCAGTCAGAAAATATTAATAACAAAATATGATATAATGGGAGCATCCCCTGTGCGAAATACAATACAATGTTTATGCAGAGGATTAAGCGATGTTGTGAGATCACGTGAAAAGTATCGACCCCAGTGGGACCGAACGAATGTTCGCCACGCGGATAGCCGGGCCGGACTATTGCAACGCTGGCCGGCGGGCAGCAGAGGCAGATGGTTCGGGAACACGGGCCCCGGGTTTGATCCTCGGTTTTGATTAGCCCGCGGGAGAGATTTACCTTCGAGATTAGGTCCGGATACAATTTTTCGTGACGGCCAGAGCGATTTCGAAAAGTAATGTTTCGCCCGTTTGTCTCCGTCGTCTGACGTCTCGCGCGCCCTTTCAACAGGCCCCCGTCTCTCTTATCTCTCAAGAGAAACGGAATCGATCGAGACGATTGTAGCTTGCGTGCGAACGAGTGCGATCGTGCCTCGAGCGTGGCGACCATGGCGAACGACCACGGCGGTAAATGTCGACAACTGGACGGCGAAATCAATCGGCGCGGCGCTCGGACGGTGCTCGATAGTCGGATCGCCGAAATTTCGGACGATTTCTTCGAGCCGATAAATTTCGCGTTGAATAAAATATGCGTCGATTTATATTCGGCTGGTCGATCCTTCTTTTTTTTCGCGGGGCGCGCTGAGCGAAACCCGAAATCTGGCCCCGCGGGTACGATCGAGAGGAGAGGAGCGTAAGAGGTCGTCGAGAGATAGATAATTTCGCGAGAGACGCAGCCGCGATCGTACCTAATTTTATAAATTCAGAGTACGTTTATCGGAGGGCTCGGCCCTCCCTCCCGGAGTAGAAGATGAACGAGAGGCAAAAGAAGATCGCGGAGAAAAGGAGGAGGCAAGGGAGCAGATAGGATAGGAACAAAAGAAGATTCAAGATCCTCAACGGCCTCCGGGTTGGCACTGTTATATTATGCAGAGCGCCGAAAGACAAAGCGACAGGATACGTCGAGGAAACCGTTAAAAAGTTTACCGGACGAAAGGCCGGTGATCAAGACGAAGGAAAGGAAGAAGGGTAGAGATGACGTTAGCTTTGACTTGGACGATGAAGAAGACGAGGAAGAGGAGGAGGACGAAGAGGGATGGAAAAGAAGAGAGTGCAGGAGAAAAAGAGAGAGAGGGAGAGAGGCGCATAGAAAGAAAAAGACGAGATCTACGAGAGAAAGAGAGAGAGAGACGATCGTCTACGAAGCACGAGGAGTGTAAATAATACTAAGGCTGATTGTGGGCGTGGCTGACAGAACTCTAAAAACCTTCGACTATATATCAAAGGGTTTACTGCCCTTGGATGATTCTCTCTCGTAGCGGAGAAGAGACGTTGGAAGAACAAATACTGGATTGCTGCGTGCGAGAGGAGTGGGAAGAAGCAAAAGTAACTCTGGCGGCACACACGGACGAGGTGGTAGAAGGGAGAGGAGAGGACGAAGGGGAAGAGGAAGGACTCTGAGGATGCGGCGCGAGGATTCGGTGTAGCCTCGAAAAGGAAAGCCTCGCCGTTTCTCTCGTACGTTATTGCTGGTGCACCGCGAACAAGATTGGTTGCTTCTTCTGCTTTTGCCTTCTACCTCGCCTCGTAACCCTCTCCGTAGCTTCTATTTATCGGCTGTATTCCTATGTCTCAATACTCTTCACGACGTTCTCCACGACGTGGAAGAACTGTAAGAAATAGAGCGCCGGAAATATTTTTTGTACACTTACAACACTACATTACACATACATGCATTACGACTAAAATCAGTATTATTAACTTAAAATTACTACACGAATATTACTTGTGAGTTATTCAAGTTATAATCGTCTACGGCTAATAAGGCATGGACCTGTCTGCTCATCAGTTGTGGGATACCTTGTGCATCTCAATACGTCCCATGCTGTCCGATCGATCGATTAAGTAGGATGGTGGAGAAGGAAAACGAGGAAAGAGGAATACGGCAAAGCGGAGGAGGAGCAAGGAGGTGTGGATACCCATGGCATCTACTCTCTCCTCCGTTCTTTCCAGACTCAACAGACGTTGAGTCTGGAAGCTACCTCGATGGCTGCCTGCCTACTTGCTGGCCTGAGATGTTCGCCTGGTAAGCTGGCTGGCTCGCTGGTTGACTGGCTGGCTGGCTGGCTGACTGGTTGCTTGCTTCGGCTCTCGATTACTTGAAAAACCGGATTCCTTCTGCGCGAAACTGTGTTTCCCGACTTGTGTTTATGTACCAACACAACGCCCGGGGAACAATATTGGTTATTCCGCTGCGTGTGTATGCATGCCACGGCAATCGCGCATCTCCCCGTTACACTTTACTTTATCTTCAATCGGCCTAGATTCTTGCGCTTAGATAAACGCCGCGATCGTCACTTACGCACTGTTTCAGTAGAACAAGAAATCGAGAGTCAGAGATTTCACGATTCGACGATCGAAATTTGGAACGGAAGAGAGCAGCGCTAGTGGTACTCGATGAGTCGCGATGTCATCGGCTATAGCCCGGAGGGTCGGTGTTCGAGGGTTAAATCCAAGGGTTTCGAGGGAGTCGGTGTCAAGGGTAAACGTATACGTGCCTAAGCACAAACACGCCCGTACAAGTATATAAACATGCTTATGATGGAGCAGAACGAGCGTGGACTTCGTCGTTTGGTAAGAACAATGGCGACGGGATCGCGGATACGTCGGAGGATGGAGAGGAGAAAACGGACACAAAGGGCATATCTTCCGAATAATTTCACATGGCCCTCTGTTCGCCCGGTAGTTGGTCGACCGAAAGAAGCGCGCGGTCCTTCACTTGAAAGACGAAAAGAACCGCAACGACGAGTCGAAATCCCGCGACGCGCAAGCCTCGGGGGAAAATATTTTCGAAGATCAAACACGCTGAAGCTGGCTGCACTGTTCTGAAATAGTTTCTATTATTATAAAATTTATGCAAATTCAATTTTTTTTCTTGATGAATTTATTTCGTATGAATAGTAAATTGCGGTTTAATATTAATATTGATTTCACTCTCCTTCCTCTCTCTCTCTCTTTCTCTCTCTCTCTCTCTCTCTGTATATTATATTTTTTAATATGAAATACGTCTTTGAATTATACACAGACATGTATAAAATGACGTAGCAATTTCTAAGACAAGATATATTCGATTTTATGATGCTTAATAAATTCCATTTGTGGCACACGTGTGTGGTTCAGCCTTCATTCATCCGACCGTCGTGGCGGCGAGTCGTAGGACGAACGAAGAGACGTGACGAGACCGACGAGAGATACCGGGCACTCATTTAGCCCGGCAATTTATTCTCGCGTTTTGTAATTAACACCAGGAAAGAAGTAGCAGAAGTTATTCTTCTCCTACGGGCACAGGACGCCGTGGCACGGGTGGAAGCGACTACTCCGGTCAGTCTGCCTCCTCCCCCTCCGTCATTTCGCTTCGACTCGCTCCACCTTCGACTCTTCCTCACGTGAAGAAAACGTACGTATTACTATGAAGCGTCAGGGCGGTTGAGGCCCGGAACCTCCTGGACCAACTTGAGAATAAGAAACCGAAGAAGAAGAAGAAGATGATGAAAATGGAGAAGAACGACGAAAGGAGGAGACGCAGATGAGGTGGGAGAGAAACGGAAAAGAGACGGAGAAGAATGGAGAAAAGGAAATAGGGGTGGGAGGTAAGAGATGAGGCGACGGCGGGGCGAGAGCGAAGGAGAACGGAGGAGGATGATGGAGGCCTCTCTTCTGCATGCCACCGCAGTCAGCCCCAGACAGAAAGCGGTCTGTATAATTATGGGTTGTCACCTCATCAGCTCTGGGAGGGGAAGGGCCGGAGGAGAGGTGGCGGGGAGCATTCATCGTCTGCGCGGGGGCAGGGGGCAGGAGGTTATAGGAGTGCAGTCTTTAGCTCAAATTGTGTTTTATCGTCTTTCGCATTTGGCTTTAGGGTCCCAGCGACCGGAGGGTGATTGAGCCGCCCGGAGCGGCTCCCTTCCTTCTTTCGGGAGGGGGTCTTCGTCCGATGTCTTCTCGAAAGGTGTCCGTTCTTACCAGACGCGACGCGACGCGATGCCGATTCTCTGATATAATCACGCGTCGCATGTCCATTCTCTCTGTCTCTTTCTCTCGCTCGCAAGCGGGTGTTCGATTATTACGAATGGAGCGGGTTAAACGGGACGATGGAGATTTTGACGCCCGTTTAAAAGAGAGAAGGAACGCGCACGCATCGTTCTCATCTCTCTCCGAGGGAGACGAGCGATATGCGTACATAAGCGTCACGCGTCAAGGATCCCGAAACGTCTTCATCGATCGTGGAATGCCGACGCTGCATGCATTGTGGTCGGTAAATACGTATTGTCGGAGCTGTAAAACCGCGAAACGTGCGTTTTAGGTATCTTACAATGATCGGGACGTGCCCTCTCTCTCTCTTGCTTTTGTGTCCATTTCTCGGTCTCGGCCTTCCTTCCTTTCGCGCATATACATGCGAGTCTGCGCGAGGGCACATATACAAAAAGAGGCGCTCTGCGCGAGAAGGTACTGAGGCTAAGTGGCGAGTTTAGAGGGATTTCATTAAATCATATGGATTGGGGATAATATATGTTATTGAGCGGAGCGTTCAAATCGCGCTCTATAAGTTGTAATAAGTCCAATTTTAGGGCCGGTCATGGGCCGGGTCCCGCAGTGGTTGTCGGACGATTCGGTCGCCCGCCGGCTGCCAATTGGCCTGCGGCCGGCACGGAATGACAGTCACTGGGACCGGCGAACCCGCCACTTACTCGTCAAACGGCCAGCCGGTCTGCCGAAATCACTGCCATTTAGATAATTTGTAATGAATAGGCACCACTCATTCCATACCCCTATCCGCTTCTTCCTCTCCTCGTGCTCCTTCTCTCTCGCGCACGGTCTGGGACCCGAAAGTACGCGCCGGTCAAGATTGGCAATGACAACAGTATAGTTTATCCAATATTTCATAGGTCGGCGCGGATGACGGTTCCGAGAAAGACATAATAAATCGCGATAGAGAATGCCACGAGCCCTCTCTGAAACCGTCGAGTTTACCCGAGGCCACTTAAGAAAGAATTCGAGATTTCATCCTCGCCCGAGCGGGAAGGAATGACCTCGACATGTTTTAAATGGGTGTGCATTCGCGCTCACAGGGAACGCTGCGAGTAGGCGTATAAACGTGATTGTTAGGCGCTGGAGTGAATCTACGTCACTCCGAGTGCAGTAAGGTCGCGTATAGACGTCGAAACGCATTCTCGGAGAAAACGTATCGATGCCGGAGCACTGCGTGTCGGCGTAACAAATAGCGGGACGTGGCGTGCGACGTCGCGTCGTTCTTCTCGCGAATTTTTCCCGCGATGGGAGACACGTGCCGAAGGTACGCGGCATCGATCAAAAAACGTGACTGCGCATACATTATCGCGCCGCGTTACCGACTAACGAGAGGAAGCGAGAAAAAGGGAAAGAGTCGGTTGCGCTCGTCTTGAAAAATCGAGGATTCGGAAGCGACGGCGAATCACGAAGAATAATACAAGCACGCTGCCGTACCTTCGATATCGAATATATAGGAAATAAGCCCAACACATGGCGAGAGGGGGAGAGAGAGAGAGAGAGAGAGAGAGAGAGAGAGAGAGAGAGAGAGAGAGAGAGAGAGAGAGAGAGAGAGAGAAAGGAACACCAAAGGAGCAGCATCCTCGTCCTTACTCGAGGGGGTAGACATGGGGCTAATCCTGGCATTTGTTAACGCGTTTCTAATAGATGCTCTCGGTACGTTCCCGCTCGCCGCGCGCCGCGATACGCTCCCGTAGCCGGCCGGAGCTTTCGGAGGATACGGAGACTCGCCTTAATTTTCGATTACATCCGCCCTGTGTAATTAGCCCCATCCTACTCACCGTTACCCCCTTTGCTCGAGCGTTCGCTTTAGGCGGCGCGCGCCCGGAAAATCGGGACTTAGCGGCAGACAGAGGGATTTGATCATTTCTTCCTTTCTCGGTCGGTTTCGCATCGGAGAGTGATTTCCCGTAATCCCATCGGGTAATAAATAACGACTGAAGACGAAGAAGCACGCGAATAACGATAAAAGGAGACTTTTCCTCCCGCCGCCGACCTGCAGATCTTGCTTACGCACTTCGGATATAAACTCGACGACGGCGCTGAGCAAGATTCTTAATGCGGAGCCGGCGCTCCGGATTTTTAACGCGTCTCAATCTTTCTTAACGACGCAACGTGTGTCCGTAAGTGTGTGTAGCGACGTGCGAGAGCGAACGTGTGTATACGCGTGTGTGCCGGCGGACAAGCGCGTACACGCACACGCACACGCGCGGGCGTGTGTATAATGACACGGCGAAGGCGGCGCCGCACGTTTCGCATTATGATTTCAGCGCTTTGCTTTTAATTAAAATGCAAATCTATCGCAACGGAGGAGCGAGCGAGCGAGAGAGATCGGGAGGTAAGACGGATTACGTCTGGGGGCGCCACGACAAACACCGGAATATGATTAATTCAACGCAACCCCATCCTGGGACACCGACGCCACCACCGTCACCGCGTCCACCCGCCGTCCCTCCCCTCTCCCCCCATCACCCTGTCCTGCCTCGTCGCCACCCCCTTAACTCACCGTATCTCCTTCTTCCCTCCGTCCAACTTCCCCACTCCGACCTTTCGTCACCCTGCGTGACCTCCTCGACCAGTTTCCACGGACGACACGTACGGCTTTCCTTTCTCCATCTTCTCCTCGCTTTTCCCCCATTGACATCGAGATCTGTTTTCCGCCGTGTAAATACAGCGAGTCGTCAACGCACCGTGGAAACCGTGTCAGGCGTATTGACATTAGGTTCCGGAAGGTTCTCTTCAGGGTAATGCACTTGGATGGGGCATTTTCAGGACACGGTCGATGCCACCTGATTTCCGTTTCGTTTTTATATTGCGCAAACGAAGATCCGGTTCCCCTCTGATTAACTTATCCATTCCTTCCTTCTATCTTTTTTTTCTTTGCTCCCGCGACCGGCGCGATCCTAGGTCGCAAATTAACTCCGCTCCTACCACGCTGACATCTCTTTTTTAATCAGCGACATCAAAGGCTCTTCATTCCCGGTGCGTTTGGCAACGGTCGGAATCGCGTCGTAGCCGAGAGAGAGAGAAAGAGACAGAGAGACGAGACGGGGACGAGGACTCTTAATCAGGCGTGTCCTCTCGCAGAAGGACGCCTCGCGATTATGCGACTTATACCACGATCGCGAAACGACACGTTTCTGCTTTCGTTTTCCTTTTGATTTGAAGTTTCCCGTTTCGAGGCTTAGGCTTTCTTTTCTAATTTGTTCGTCTCGTAACCGCCTTTTGTTTTTGTGCTCCACAGGTCCGGGACGGTTTGGGAAAACTGCCGAGCTGCCTACGAAGATATTGTCAAACATCTCGAAAGGTAGGACATCCACAAACCGTATTAATAAAGGACATGAAAGGAAGGGAAGGGGGGGGGGAGGAAGAAAATTGTGCCGGACCGCGGTCATCGCGTTTACACGTAGAAATTTCGGGTGTGTTTTTGAGCGCGCGAGCGATAGCGCCCGAGCGAGGCGGGGGCCCGCGCAGCGCCGTTCAGCCGTGAACCCGTAATTCTCGATTAGCCGGAAAAATCGCGCTACATCACGGACGGCAGCAAAAATACAGAACGCAGCGCGCGGATATCGGGCTCGATGACGCCGGCGGCCTAGGCCGCCGCTGCACTTCCGATAAATCAGTATTACCGGGGAAGCTGGTATCGAGTTTCCGGTCGCGCGACAAGTTGAGTCCAGGCCTGACGTAGTAATGCCAACATGATTTGTATGGTGCGAGAGCTCGTAACCCTTCTGCTCTGCGCACCGCGCCCGTACGTCCTATCCCTCTCCTATCCGCCGCAAAATCCATCCGACCGACCGACGGGCCTCCGTTTCATCCGACACCAACACACAGCTGCCGCCACCGCCGCCGCCGTCGCGGCCGGAGAGAGCGAGCCACCGAGGTTTCCGCGTGATCCTAACCACTTGTCACTTCACGGCACGCAGATCATCGTCGCGACGTGCCCGTCCATCATTCGGGGATTAAATCATTCGAGCGCCTGCGAAATACTCGCGCTCGTCGAGCCATCGCTGCTCCGAAAGGGTTGATTTCGGGAAGGGGCTTTTGCACCCCCGCACCCCCTCGTCAGGCCTCAGCGGAGAGAGGGTGCGAAGCAGCGAGCTCCGCTTCATTATGGCTCTCTCTTTCTCCTTCGGGCTTGTTGTGCCTCCGCAAAAAAACGAAAGGTTGCGAGACGACAAAGAAGACGAGGGAAGAGGCGCTACGTGCGCCAAACGGCATTCCGAAAATCTTCAATTTCACCCTCTGCCGAGGAGGCAGTAGTGGGTGCGAGAGGATGGAGTGGGGTGCCTCGCGCGCCTCCACGGCGAGTCTGGCGTAGAGCCGTTAATACGGGGAGGGGGAAGGGGTGAAAATCGACACTTGGCCGTCCGAAACGTAATTTCCAATTCAAAGGCAATGACCACTGGTCGAGCCCCCGCCGCCGACCACTCACTCGGCCCCCGCACGCGCTTACCCGCCGCCTGTGCGCCGCCCTTTCTCTTTCTCTCTCTCGTTCTATTTGCTTTACCGTCGACCCCACCGTCGACTTCGTCAACCGGACAAACGCGTATTGTGATTTCAGCCTTTGACTGGTGGCCGTTCGATGGATATCGCAGGGGGTGGTAAATGGGCACGAGGCCACGGGGAGCGGATGTGGATGTGGGAAGCGGGATAGGGGGGAGGGAAGCGGAGGGGGGCCATGAGGGGGACCGGGAAACGGACCGGAGTAGCGAGAGCGACGGGGGTGGTTTGCTGTGGAAGGGCGGCGGACCGGCGAGCGCACCGTGAATATTCATGGCGAGAACCCTAGACGAATTCGGACTTGTTGCGACTGACACTGATGTAAACCTTTGTTTATCCTGCGTGGCCCGCGCGTTCGTTCGTTCCCTCGAGATACGCGCCGGCAGCCGCGCCGCAGCCGAGAGGGCGATCCTCGAGTATTTAACTGCGAGTTAAATTCTGATTAATCGACGGCGCCGACTTTATTAATTGTTTGTCCTTTTGATTTTACAACGTTCGCAGAACGCAGCCTGCGACCGAAGACTGAGTTACTCCTTCTGCCGTCTGTTTCGCCCTCTCTCATCCCCCCTCCCTCCCTTCGCCGCCACGTTTTAATCCCGATGATTTGTTCCCGCTAATCCATCTGATCTACTCGCTCGAAGGAAAACTCTGATTTTCCCCTTAACTCTCTCCGCCAGCTTGGTCAATTAAATCTCATTAACTCCGCGCGGTAAGTTCGTTTGAATGGCTCACATTGAAAATTTGGATGTGACATAAGATTTATCAAAATATTTTTTATCCATAAATAATGATTACATTTTATTTTGTGTATTCGAGAAAAAAAAATAACAGCTGCAGAATCGCAACTTTTACATTGACATCATAACTGCATCCATCGATCATTTTCTCTTTCACTATGAGTGATATCCACACAATCGAATTTTGGATATATATATATGACTGGCGGATAAGCAGTCGTTACGAGCGGATGAAGGCGGAGTTGCGAGAGACGCGCGGCTTCCATCGCGCTCCCGTCGACCCTCGGCGCGTTGCGGCGCGGCGGCGGTGGCGGTAGCGGCGGCGGCGGCGGCGGCGGCGGCTCGCGCGTTATGAAGTAAGTAATATTAATGGTTCCCCGCAGTCAGAATGTTCGGTATCAATGCGCTAATGTCGGCTTCCTGGCTTTAAAACTACCCAGTCATTCCGGCATAATTCAGGCGCATTGTCTGTCGCCGTCCAACTACCATCCACCATCACAGTTTCTCGCTGCCTTCCTACGGGTTCCTTATCGTTCAGGCATCCCCTTACGCGCTGCCTGCCTCCGCGTCTCCGTACCCGTCACCTCCCCCCTCCACCCCCCACCCCCCGTCCGTCGTCTCTCTTCAACCTATCCCGGACTTGGGAGCCACCCTCCCCGTCGCGCCCGCGACGTCATTAATTACGACGACGACGGCGACGACGTCCTATCGTCCAGGACATCTGCTGGAAAATAATATTCATAAAGTTGAGCCTCGTCGTTACGATCGACTCTTTCTGCTTCCTTTCTCTCTCCCTCTCTTTTCACCGCTCACGGGGGTTTTGCGCGCCTCTCTCGCTTCCTCTTTCACTTTCGTCTTATCCCTCCTGCCGCCGCCGCCGCCGCTGTGCCGAGCGAGATGACGTCGCCCATTTACATTTACGGTCATGGTTTCGTGGCTGCCGAGAGACCGCGTCCACAAAGAAGTATACCGACGACGGATGCAAAACGACGGACACGTCGAAACGCGTCGTAAGATATTTCACTTCTTGCCGCTTTGATAACCGCGCGCGATTACCGCCGACGTTGAACGTCGAGTCGTATCTCGGGAATGGCACGATCGAGATTATCCTACTCATTTAGTATAACACTTAGCTTAATATGAACGATTCGTCTCAGTTCGATGCGCACGTTAGCGTTTTATCCGATCCGATTAACAAAAAGATAACAGGCAAGATAAACGCTTAAATTTTTATAGAATATGAAATATAAATTGATATTAACAAGCACTTCTTATGAACGTCTGAATAATTTAGTATTTTATTGTCCTTTTTTTTTTAAATTGAACTGTACATGTATCGAGCGCGATGCAGTGTCATGCATCATCGCGCTTTAATATATTACATTTTAGCATTTCGATTTATCACATCCGGCTGACCATTGTATTGCAGTAAACGATTACTTTCAAGTGTAAGAAACTCGATAACAAAATGTACGCCATTTCGTGCGAATTACGCGGGAACAGGCGCTTATCACGTGGATGCCGCGGATAGGTGTAGGTCGAAAAGAAAAATAGCCTATCTCGGCGCAAGATCGGTCCCGGCTGTCAAACAATCGGCTCTCCCCTCTCCTCGCGTCTATTGCGGCGCGACGAGCGCGGCGAAACGGTTAATTCGACTCGGCGATCGCGCGGACGATAGCCGCGAGAGCCGTTCTCGCTCTCTTACCGTCGCGGGCGCCACGCTAATTGCGTTCAAACGAACTGTCAGCGCGCGGACAGGCACACGGCGTAAACACCTACGGAGGTATAACTATAGCTACACACGCGCGGCACATGTACGGCAGCAATGCGACGCGCGCGCAAATACGCGGCATTGTGATTAATACCGTTTACGCGGCAACCGGTCCGGGCTACGAGCTGTCAGCGTGCCGCCACGAGAATCCCCATAATTACGTGATGCGCCGCGACGCGACGCGACGTTTTCCGCCTTGTCCGCTTAATCGCGCGTGTATATCGACGCGAATTATTCGAACTATACCGAAGGTCATCTCTGATTGTTCCTCTCCTCCGGCGATTATTACGTCCTTTTTAATTTATATTTATTCTCTTTCTCTACTGCCGCGACTGACATTGTCGCGATTAATTGTCACGACGTATTATTATTACGTTGCATCAGCATGATAATTGCTTCGCCAGTTCTACCATTTTCTTTTTTATGAATAATCTGCGAGCGCGTGTGCGCCGTCAGATCGCCGACGGTGGGGGCCGGTGCGTGGTTCTCTCGCGTCTCAATACGCGCGCATATAGGTGCAGGAGGGCTTTATCCGGGCAAGATATCGCAAGATGGCAAATTGCGCTAAAGTAAAGTGAATTATGCGCGAGAATCGCTATGCGATTATCCCGGCGCTGACAAAGCGCGCGTTAGTCACGCTATCACTCTCGTTCTTCCATCTTCTCTCCGGCTCCGTTGTTCCACCGCGCCGTATCGTTCTTCGATTCTTCCGCTTGCGCCCACCCAGTAATTTCCCGACATAATTTTCGCGTGTAATTGCCGGTGTGCGGGCGCGATTGACTGGACGATTACTCAGATATTTAAAGAAATGCGATCTGCATTCGGGAGAGAGAGAGAGAGAGAGAAAAAAAAGGAAGGGGGACGGATGTTCAATCGGGCTTTAGGGTCGCCTTAATTTCACGAGAGCGGGTCGAACCTTTGCTCGCAAGGCAGGTATAAAATCCATCGTCGATCGCTTATATATTCCTCGCCTGGTCACCTTCGATCGTTCTCCGTCGATCGATTATGCCTGACGTTCTCGTGACGATCTAATCCCAGCAACAGACGACAATTAGCCCGGTGATTTTTTGCGCGACGCATCTCCTTCCTCTCGTCGTAGCGCCGTCCTGGCTCGCGTGATTCGTAGGAAGATCCCACGTAGTACGTACGGAAATGGACGGACGGCGGCGTGGACGGTCAGTCGAAAAACAATCGATTCGCGACAGCCGCCCTGGTTAGTTCGCGTTCTTGGCGAACTTGATCGATCGGCGGGGCTCTTCTCCGAACCGATTATCGGCCGCTTATCGACGACGACGG